TTGGAAGTTTTCCCTGACTTTCACCCAACCTCAGACTAGGTCGGTCTTCGGTCTTCCTTAATTATGTACCTGTAAGCATATAAATAGCACCCTGTAGAGTGCTTGCCTCGCATTTGAGACCGGCTGGCCTTAATCCTCAGTACTTGTGTACACATACACGTGCACACACACACTACCCTGCAATATTTACAGGTTGCAAGGTTCCATTGATCTGCGCAACTGTTAGGACACACTGTCCCCTGACTACATCGTAGGCAATAGTTAACCCCGAGTCTTTCTCGACTTCAACTCATTTGTGTAACTTTTCTAGTATCTCCCCTCCTACCGCCACAGGGTCCTACTATGTAGCCCAGGTTGGCCTGGAACTTGGTACACAAGACCAAGCTGGCCTCAAAGTCACAGATATCCGCCCCCTTACCCTTGCTTTCAGAGCGCCAGGCGTTCCTGGTTCCCGCTTCCATGCCTGGCATCAGCTGGGCTGTTTTATTTTTAAATCTATTTTTGTTTTTTTCGAGACAGGGTTTCTCTGTGCAGCCCTGGCTGCCCTGGAACTCACTCTGTAAACCAGGCTGGCCTCGAACTCAGAAATCCGCCTGCCTCTGCCTCCTGAGTGCTGGGATTAAAAGCGTGTCCCTTCCAGCCATGTTTATTTATTTATTTTTTTTAAAGATTTTATGTGTATAAATATTTCTCCTGCGCTTATGTAGTGCAGTTGATACCCTATGGATGCTAAAAGAGTGGCTCCCGTGGAACTGGAGAAATGATTGTGAATCGTTACGTAGGTGTTGGAAATCAAACCCAGTCCCGTACAAGGGTAACAAGTGCCCTTAACCCCTGGCCCATCTCTCCAGTCTCACAGGTTGTAATCACAATTTAGTAACACTAGGATCAGTGGTAGAGCTTTCCTTGGGTTCTATACTTAGCACTGAAGGGGGGGGGGCATCTTCTGGAGCCAAGATAACATTATAGACATGGTCCTTCTCTCCCCTTGAGTTCACAGATTCAAGCCAATAAACATTATTAGCTGAGTGTACTGGACTGTGATGTGTCTTAAGCACTTAGAAACTCTGTAATGAACTCCCAGGTCCCTTCCATTTGTTTTACCATAAGGATTAATGATGGCCAGTGTTTGTTGAGACCTTAATGTGTGCCGGATACTCTGTGGGGTGCTTTACCTTCTGCATTTCATCCACCGTCATGGTCTACCTGACAGTTTGTATTACTGCCTCCCTTCCGCTGGAGAGGAAACCGAGTCCCAGGAGGATGAGGCGCAGCTGGTAAACCACACAGACAGAACCTATCAGCCAGAGTTCCCAACATGCACCCCTGATGCAATTACATTGCTTCAGTTAGGTTCCAGAGACTTTTTTTTTTTTAAGTTTTCTGACGCGTGGTCTTGCTGTGTAGCCCAAGCTAGGTGTAAACTATTTTTGATTTTTTGTTTGTTTGTTTGTTTGTTTCTTCTTTGTTTTTCAAGACAGGGTTTCTCTGTGTAGCCCTGGCTGTCCTGGAACTCAGAAATCTGCCTGCCTCTGCCTCCCAAGTGCTGGGATTAAAGCCGTGTGCCACCACTGCCCGACTATTTTTGATTATTTAAAGCAGTGTTTGGCTTCAGAAATGCTAGGCAAACACTATACTGAGCCATAGCTCAAAGGTCTTAAGCTTTGTTTTTTACTTTAAATTTCTGAAAAAATTTTTTTGCTATTGTCTGTATGTGGACTCTGGGGATGATGGTCAGGTTTAACCGGCCAGCACCTCTCCTGCTAAACCATCTTGCTGCTCTTGAACCTGCCTTAGCCTTTAAAATCCATTCATTCATTCATTCATTCATAGACAAGGCTTCACTCACTGTATAACTGGAGCTGTCCCGGAACTCACAGAGATCCACCTGCCTCTAATTCAGGAGTGCTGGGATTAAAGACGTGCACCACATCTAACTCAGAGACCACAAATTTTCTTTTAAATCACATTTTTATTTTTTATGTACAGGTGTGTGTGTGTGTGTGTGTGAACATGCACAGATGGTTGTGAGCCACCCAGGTCCTTTGATAAGAACAGCAAGTGTTCTTAACCACTGAGCCATCTCTCCAGCCCTTAGTATTTTTAAATGTGTAGTTTGTGAGCCAGATCCATGGGGCTGAAGACAAGATCTGCCTTTGCAAAGAATTTTGACTTAAACAAGAGAGGCAGATGTAGATGATTAGGAGTGTCTCTTGGAGCTGGGGAGAAGAGCCAACTGTCTTTTTTTGGAACATTCCTTCCTCCCCAGGGGAAAGCCTGTTCTCTGCCAGAAACAGGTGTCAGGGAATAGGAGGGTTTCCTATAAAGGCTGATGTATGTGTGTGTCTGTCTGTGTATCAGATAGGTTGTGTTTCACGAACAACCTACAAATTACTGAATGCCATTTGAAAAGGGTTAGAAGCCAGTGTCACCACCTGCAAAAGCTATTACAGTTATTTATCCAGGACAGAGAAACTACACACTGTGGGAGGGATTGCATAGTGTGGGCACTTGGAGAGAAATGGTAGGGTGGTGGGCTTCCATTTAAGTTGTAGTTTTAGAGTAAACAGACAGAGGTCCTGTTTGGGATACGAAGTATATTAAAGACAGTGTCAGACAGGGGTGTGGCTGATGAAGCTAAGCAATTTCCTATCGTGCACAAAGCCCTAGGTTCCGTCCCTAGCACTACACAACCAAGGCCCCTGGTCCAGAATGTCTCTGGTCTCAGGGCAGAAGGCAACAAGACATATCTGCTCTCTCCACAGCTACAGGCTCAGCACTTGGGCACTGGATTATTATGTGTTATGTGCAGATAAGCTTGGACACCTGTACTCACGGAGGCCAGGGGAGGGTATAGGTATCCTTGTTCTTCACCTCATCCTTTTGAGGCAGGGTCTCTCTCTGAAAGTGAAACTCATGTTATTCCAATAGGCTAGCAGCCAGTGAGCTACAGCAATCCTCCTGTCTCTACCCCCATACAGCACTGGTATGTGTAAGACCAGTCGTGGCTTATGTGAGTGCTAGGATCCCCATGGTTACTCAGCAAACACTCTTAACCACTGGGCCACCGTCCTTGCCCCATCTATATTATAGACTTTTTTTGTTGTTGTTGTTCTAAGGGTTGAATGTAGGACTGTATACTCACTGAGCACTCCATCTCTAACCTCAGAAAATAAACTTTAAACAATTCCTTCTGGAGTTAGGTGTGGTAATAGTTTATGCCAGTGGCCCTGTCATTTACAAGACCGAGGGTAAGAGGATCTTTCTGAGCTTAGTGAACAGAGTGAACACCAGGCCAGCTAAGGCCATCCAGGGAGGCCCTGTCTCAAAACAACTATGAACACGCTAGGGCCTGGCAAGATGGCTCAGCAAATAGAGATGCCTCCTGCCAAGTGTGATAATCTAGGTTTGGTCCCGATGGCCCATGTGGTGGAGTGACAGAACTGACCACCTCCTGCACGTTGTTCCTGTTTCCACATATGTGCTACGATGCATCCCCCTGCCCCCATACAACAAAAGCAATTAAAACATAAGGAAAAAAAGAAACATACAAACAATACCACAAAGAATCCCATCCGGCTGAGCCTTAGGTAGGTCTGCAATTGCAGGAGAGGATGAGCGTCATAAGCTGAAGGCTAGCCTGGGCAATTTAGCAAGGCTATGTTTCAAAAGAAAAAGAGAAATGGGGTTGGGGATATAGCCCAGTGGCAGAGTGCTTGCGTAGCTTGCTCAAGGCCATAAGTTCACCCAGGTGCGGGGGTGGAGGGGGGTTGTGGGGGAGAATTCTATACAGGAAGGGGTTTTATAATTTTTTCTCCACAACCCCCATGCTTTCTGCCTTGTCATTATTTCTTTTTTTTTTCTTTTCTTTTTCTTTTTTTTAGTTTTGGTTTTTCGAGACAGGGTTTCTCTGTGTAGCCCTGGCTGTCCTGGAACTCACTCTGTAGACCAGGCTGGCCTCGAACTCAGAAATCCGCCTGTCTCTGCCTCCCAAGTGCTGGGATTAAAGGCGTGCGCCACCACCACCGGGCTGTCATTATTTATTAAACAACACAACTGTATCATAACTATTTACACAGCATTTAAGTATTAGGTATTAAAAATAATCTGGAAATAATTCAAGGACTACCAAGAAGATATAAACACACCACCATTATAGGACCTGAGGATTGTTTCATTTTGGTTCCTGCTGGGGTCCTGAGTCTGATTCCCTGAGGAAATCTCAGGACAACATATGTTCAGCATTAGAAGGTGAGAGGAAGTGAGGTATTCAAGCAGATTCTAGGAGAAGGATGTTGGAGCTAGCAGGATAAAATGCAGAGAGAAAGGACCAGCAGGTGCAGAGGCCAGGAGACAAGAATAGTCAAGGGACTCAAAATACACAGAGCAAGGAGGTTAGGTTTAGAAGGAATCTGGCAGGGTAAAACAGCTATTATGTCCTTCCCAGATGACTCTCTCCTGAACCTTAAACTCAGCAGAAAGCAAAATGTTGGGGTTATGGTGCCCAGACCATCAGCTTCCTTTGAATACCATCACTGAATGCATCCCTTTGGAATATTGGATCATATAGTACCTGTGTGACTGCAGTGGGTTTTGCATTATAACTTCCATTTCACATGTGAGAAAACAGACTGTCCGGCATCTTGTAGGTTAACTGTGTCCCTTTCCATAAATGCTTTAGTTCTAAGTGCCTTTGTATTTTTTAGTTCTAAGTGCCTTTGTATTTCTTCCTCAAAATAGAGCCACCTAAACACGAGGTATTATGATTTCATTGGACTTCTGACTCCCTCAAGTTTGGCCTGCTATATACAGGAAACCCAGGAAGGGGCAATAGTTATAGCCAGAAGGCCAAGTGGCCTCTCAAAATTCCCCACATCTATTCTGGTTCTCCCTCTGGGGCAGCTCTTAGATACCATCTTCTGCCAAATAGAGTTTGTTTCTCAGAAGTTGTTAAGAAGTGGGAGGTAAGAGAAAAAAAAAAAAAAACCAACTGCATCAACAACTACAAAATCCCCTGCAGCAGCCTGTGCACAAAGGGTTTGGGTTCTGAACAAAGGGCTGGGTGAGACGGGAAGGCAAATGCTGACACATCCTCTCTCCAGCTGTGAACCTGGGGTCTGAGGGCCGCTGCAAAGGTCATCCGTCTCCACATCTTTGGGCAGGAAATGCAATTCAATCCTTTCAGTGACTGATCACTTCACAAGATTAATGGAAATGTCTCCAACATGGGTCTGTGTTCTGACAGCACAAAAAGCAAATCAACCTTCTCCCCTGGCCTCCTTCTCAGCAAGGTCAGCTGATTCCTGGTCTTTAAAAAGCTCAAAACTTTACTCTAGGACATCTGTTCAGGGGGAATCCCTTGGATAGGAGAGATCCCATCTCCAGGGGTGAGACCCAAAGATAGCACCTGAAGGTGGGGGACTTTGGAAGCTCTTCAGTTTGTACTTCATCTTTCCAAAGTAGAAGATATGTAAAGGGCATGGTAGGCCCTGAAGGGTTAACTGCCAGCCTTCTTGTCCATCCCTCAGGGATTGTCAACCAGTGACAAGTGAGCATGATGAAGTAATGCCTGCCTTTCCCTTCCCATTGGCTACCGCACGTGTCCATCAACCTCAAGATGCAAGTTTTGAAAGAATCTTTGAACTTTTATGACTCTCTTCAAGGCATTAACCCTTTAACTCACCTGTGGCTTCCAGGGTCCTTTCTAGCCTTCACACAGGAAGAGGTACATTGGAGAAAAAAAAAAAAAAGATCATACTGCTAAGTAAAACATTAAGCCTTTCTCCAAGGGTCAGGCCTGACAGTCTTTGTACAGCTTTGTTTTTCTTTTTGACTTCAATCCACAGGGCACTGAAGACTGCAAAACAAAATAAACAGAAGATATCTGAGAACAATCACTTGAACAGAAACAGCTTGGTCCGTTGCTATATTAAAATAAAATTATACTTTAAATTCCAAAAGCAATGCAAAGTGAGTCAAAGCTTGTGTAAGATTGGTCAGTGCTGGATCTTGTGCATATAAGGTTTTACAATCTTATTTATTATTTGTGTCTTCCATACCTTAGCATACGTGGATTGAACCCAGAGTCTGTACACCACCCTATTCCTGAGCTACCCCACTAACCTGGAATTCATTCAAGTAGCCACACATCTCCACGGTGCAAAGTTGAAAAGGCATTACAGCCCATAGAGTGAAGTTAAACCCCTCAGGTCTGCATCAGGCGACTTTCATACATATGTGGTTCACGTTTCACAGTGTACCAAAGGATGGCTCTCCTTCTCGTCTCGTGTTGCTTTTCTCCACTGTCTTCATGTCTTTCCAAAGAAAACCCAATGTGTAGAAAAGATTAAGTATGAGTCTATGGATATTATCTTCTTTTACCCAAGCAATAATCAAAATTTAGTATTCTGCATCTTGCTTTTATTTAAGTCATATATTCTCTCTCTCTTTGTGTGTCTCCCCTCTTGTTTATTTTTCTTTTTTCTTTTCTTTTTTTTTTTTTTGGTTTTGGTTTTTCGGGACAGGGTTTCTCTGTGTAGCCCTGGCTGTCCTGGAACTCACTCTGTAGACCAGGCTAGCCTCGAACTCTCGAACTCAGAAATCCGCCTGCCTCTGCCTCCCAAGTGCTGGGATTAAAGGCATGCACCACCACTGCCCGGCTCCTCTTGTTTATTTTTAAAGACAGGGTTTCTCTGTGTAGCCCTGGCTGTCCTGGAACTCACTGTGTAGACCAGGCTAGCCTCAAACTCAGAGATCTTGCCTCTGCCTTCTGAGTGCTGGGATTAAAAGTCTGCACCAATACTGCCCCACTATACTTCTTTTTTTCTTCTTCTTCTTTTTTTTTTTTTAATGCTTTAGATCAATCTGAGAACCCTGGTTTCAGTTTTTGTGTGCTTTGGACAGGTCTCCACTAAGACCAGAGTCTTGTGGGCTCTGGATTCCTACACGCTCCTGGTTCAAGTCCTGTAGCCATAGTATCCTGAGCTTCCTAAATGCTGAGATTAAAATGTGCTGCTACACCTGGCGTAAGCTTTATTACATGGTTCTTGACTCTATCCATAGGATATTTACCACCCTTTATAAGTGTATTGGAAAGATCTTGGCAGGTGAACCAAGTCCATCCAATTGAGAGCCCATCAGGCTCCCGCACTGGGCTACGCTACTGGCAGGCACCAGGAGCAAGTGCTTCAAACCCTAAGGCTGCACGTTCACACTGTACCACATGTGTTCTTCCATACATCCTGTGCCTTATCCATCTTTGCCTCCATGGTCTCTTCACCCATTCTATTAGTGTTCTAGGACAGTGGATGATGGAGATGTGAAGCCAAACTGGACCTTGACTCATAAACAAATAGCTTGGTACCATAAAAGCAATGATGGCAAATACCCCATGGCCTCGTTGTTTTAAGTTTTCTGTTTGCTTGCTGCAGCAGAGGGATCGGATCTAGGGTCTTGTATATGATGCCAGTCAAGTGCTGTATCACCAAGCCATACATAACCCTAGCCCATTAATTTTTCATTTTTGAGACAGGGTTTCATTAGATTGCCCAGTCACACACCACCATGCCAGTTTAACTTTGACTTTTTTTTTTTTCTCTAAGTGTATTTCAATAGTAGAGTGAGTTCTTAGTAGTCATGAGCAGCTGGGTTCTTTTTTTTTTTTTTTTTTTTTTTTTGGTTTTTTCGAGACAGGGTTTCTCTGTGTAACCCTGGCTGTCCTGGAACTCACTCTGTAGACCAGGCTAGCCTCGAACTCTCAAGCTCAGAAATCCGCCTGCCTCTGCCTCCCAAGTGCTGGGATTAAAGCCATGGGCCACCACCGCCGGGCTAGAGCAGCTGGGTTCTAAATGTCGTAGTCTCACAGGCAGGCTTACGTAGTGGCTGGACTTTTGGGCTCCCAATTCCTCCAAGCTCTTGATTCAAAGTATGTCGTCACAGTACCGTTGTGATCAAATAACTTAGCATTTCTTTGAACCTTAGCTATTAAATATCAAAGATTTAAAGAGATGCTGATAGGAAGGACTTTATTCAAAGGCACCGTAAGCTGTAAGCTCGTAAGAGCGAGAGCTAAAAACTGGGGATTCAGGAGACAGAGGCAGGAGGCTCGCACAGAGTTCTAGACCGAGCCTGGTTTACATAGCAAGTTCCATGCTACCTAGGACTAGGTACAGACCCTTGTCTTACAAAGAGGAAAGACAAGAGCTAGAATAAAGACATAAGAGCAGTCTGGAATCCCTGGTTTCTGAGTGCTCCATCCAGGGGCAGTAAGCCTATGGTGTGTGTGTGTGTGTGTGTATGTGTAAGTGAAGCTGTCATTTCTGTCTTCTGTCCCCTTGTCTTTGGACACAGTACTGCTCAATTGGCCTGTGAGGATGGATGATACAACTGAATTATAACACAGGTGGGATCTGACTGAGTCTTTTACAAGGATGGTTGGTACAGGAAGGCATTATTTCATTTCCAAGAGGCTGGCTTTCGTTAAAAGTTCATCTTTCGAAAGAAGCCCCCTTTTTTATTTCTCACCTATTCTCGGCTCCTGGGGGACAATCAGCCTAAGTTAGAGAGCTCAAGGGTCTGGCCCTTCCCCCTTTGGCCCAAAATAACCTCCTCCCCCACTTGGAGGGAATGCTTGGAATTCTTTCAACTGAGGACAAAGGCTTTCATCTGCCAATTACTGATAAAGAGAAAATGCAAATATACCCGAGAAGGTGATCCATCAAGGGTTCACGTTTATTGAGTGACCACTTAGATCCAGCAGTGGGGTGGGCATTCTGGGGGAGCCAGAGGGGAACAAACACCAGGCTGACTCATTCTTCTCTCAGGTCTGTGGTTTCCTCCAGGTTTGTAAAGGGAGGGGATTAAATCAGGTGACCTATCAACCTCTGCCCACTCTGTGAAAGTGACTTAACGTCAGACTTTTTCCTAATGCCAGCCTTTGGGGGAACTCAGAAGCCATGGGGGCAGCCGGTAGGAGTAAGAGAACATCAGGGAGGAAGATGAAGAAGGAGGATCCCCAGTGTCCCACTTGACAGTTTTGCTTTCACTCTTAACCCACTGATTCTCAGCCCCGGGCCCCTCCTTAAAGCAGCTTTATTTCACTCTGAAACATAAATGAAGTTGGTGAACTTTTGAAAAGGCAAGCAGTGTAAAATTGAGAGCCAGTAGTTTTGCCTTTCTGAATCCCATCTTCCTCCTTTACAAAGTGGAGCAACAAGGCCAGGAGACATCCCCTTTTAAAGATTCTTTCTCACGAGAAGAGCCAGATAAACTGACCACATCCCCATGTCATTTTTTTCCTCCTCTTTGGCGCTGGGTACGGGACCAAGGGCCTTCGGCTTGCTAGGCCTGATATTCCACCCCTGAACTACCTCACCAACTGGCTCCTGGTTTTCAACAGGGATGGTTAGAAAGGCTGCCCAGTGGATGCAGCTGAGCCAACATAGATGTTAATTTCAGTTTGGTGACAAACTTGGTGTTTGTCGCCTCATCTTTATGTAGGAGGTTTCTACCACTAACGCGCACGGATGGAATTAAAACAAACTTCAAAGAGCAGATCTGGGGACAGGTGGAAAAAAATACAGAACGATACGGTAGGAAATTCTAACGTAAAGGAGGGTAACCGAGTCTAGCTCACAGCTGATTTCAGGAGGCAAGGCCACTTCCTCCCCACATCTGTCTGAACCAGTGCTGCCAACATTGGGACGAGGTAAATAGAGCAATCACCTTAATTCATAATTTCTTGAATCTGGGTTTCCCCAGTGTGGAAAATGACCTGCTTTAGCTTGCTTGTACACTGAGTAAGAAGCTGCAGTCCTTCCTAGCATCAGCTGGGAAGTCTCTCAGCACATCCCTGGTGAAATGTCACTAGGCCCTTCCAAGAAAGAGGCCGGGAGGGAACAAAGTCTAGGGCCAGTTTTTCTCCCAACTTACATGGGCCTGACTTGTCCGTTTCGGAATTCCAGGATCACTCAGGGCCAATTCTGGAAGCAGTTACAAGTACTACTTAAAAGACAGAGGTGCTTTGGGGGAGCTGATACTCCGTGCATATTCACAAAGTCTGCTCGTTCTTCTCCGCCAAGAAACAATGTGGATTAATCAAGGTGCTGTACCCCAGAAAGCCACAAACATCGCCACCACTTCTCTCTTAAACTGCCACACGAGAGGCTTACCTTTTGCCTGCCTGCATTAGAGACGCTGAATCCGATTCTCTTATTCCCTCCTGTGTAACGATTTATCTCTTCTCAGCGAGTGTAGACTTTTTTTTTTCTTTCTTTCTTTTTAAAAGCCCAACTTCTGTTTCAGGGCTGTACTACCGAGGCTGTCCGAATGAATGAACGAAATGCTTTCTTCCGGTCAGCTGCAGTCTGAAAAGGCTGTGGACTGGCTGTATTTCCTGTACCTGTGCGTGTGTCTCCATATTATTATTTGAGCCCCGGGAGTTTAAAAGTTATGCAGTCTGTACAGATACAGAGCTGCGCTAATTTCTTTCTGAGCCCCTCAGATGCCTCCTCCATATGGCAGGTTCGCAAATGGATAAGGGTCTGGACAGGCTGGCCCCTCCCCCCTAGACATGCAGTAGAAAAGCAAAACAGAAAAAGAGACCATACATAGAAAATACTTTGAATTTAGGTCGCCAGCATAGGTAATGAGGAAAGGTGGATGAAGAAAGAGAGAGACAGCCCTGGGTAACCCTAGCAAGGGGGGGCAGGGGCAGAGGTGGGGGGGGTCGTTTTGGGGGTGCCAGGCCCCGGGGGCTTTCACGCCAGCAGGCTCGGCTAGCATTTCCGCGCCTCCCGCTGAGGCCATCCGTGCAAATCTGCACCTCCCTCCCCACCCCCTCCTCTCTTTCCCTCCCTCCCTGCCCCGCCATCTCTGGGATGCGCCCGCCGCCTGCAACTCAGCCCTCCAAAAGTCAGCTCCCGGGCGGCGGCGGCGCCTGCGTGCAGAGGCGCACTCGTGACCCAACAACAAAACAGCGATGCCAAGGCGCTAACGGCGCCCGGTGCGTCCCAAGCTCCCTTCTGGCCCCACACCTCCTACGGCTGCGGTCCCCGACACCCCCCACCCGAGCCCCCCTTCTCCCCAACTAGCCTAGCCGCAAGCTCCGAGCGCGATCGGCAACAATGTTTACGTTCCGGGGATTATGACGTCGACGCCTCCCCCCCCACAACTGCTGAAAATGGTTTCCTAGGACTTTGCAAACGGATCTGCTTAAGTGTTGGTGCAAAACTTTGTAGATATCGGCTCTGGCTTGCTCTATTTATTTATTTTTTTGGTTTCTTTTCTTTGGTCTTCCCTCCTTTCCCCCTCCGCCAAAATGCAGGGGGCAGGAGTGTTGACAATTAATTGGTGAACTCTCCTAAAAAAATGGAGGCAGAGAAAGACTCTGGAAGAAGATTGGTGTGTAGCTTTTTTTTTTCTCCCCCAAATCTGTATCTGGTATATGATCGATTTACCTATTTATTTATTTTTTGGTTGTTTCTTGCTACCTTTTCTTTCCTTTTCTGTATTTTGCAAGAGGACCGGAAAAAATAATAAATTGCATGCAAAAGGAAGCAAGCAGCTTACTCCTCCAGTCTCTTGTGAGGCTCAGGGTCTCAGGCACTTAAGTGGGGAGGAGGTAGCGCCGAAAGGCGTGGAAGGGGCTGAGCGGGCTCGGGGTTCGCCTGGGATCTGGGGGGCTGCGGGGCTCGGTGCTGAGCGGCGGAGGGAGGAGGAAGAAGGATGCGGGGAGTGGTGGGGGAGTCTCCTTAGGAAGTGAGTGTGCGCGCGCGCTCGTGGGGAGATGAGGCAGCTACTGGTGCGTTTTGGGGTCTCTGATGGAAGCTTTGTGGTGGGCCGGCTGCCTCTCTCTCCCCACGCTCTTAACCTCCTCCCCTCCCCTCCTCTTCTTGCACTAGCGGTCGATCGGCGGGGGCCGCTAGGGTCTCAACCCTTCCGTTTCAGCTTTCCAGCTTTTCTGTAGCTCCGGAGCAGCTCCAGCCTTAGTAATGCCGCCGGCCCCGGGTTCCGGCTTCCCGGGTTGGCCGCCGTGGCCGCCAGGGCTGCTGTTACCGCTGAGCCGGGTGCTGCAGCGGCTTCTCTCGGGGCCTACATCTGCCCCGCCAGCTCATACCCGGAGCCCCCTTCGGGGGTTACATAACCAGGCTTCCAGTGGAGTGGGCAAAGCTTAGCACATCATTGGGGTGGGGGCAGAGGAAAGCCCCCAAATAGCACTTCCATGTCTTCCTGAGATGCAGGAAGGGATTGCTTCGCGGAAGGGCAGTCGGGCCTTGGGGGTGCGAGCCCCTTTTTCTGCTTTCCAGCATCTTTGGCATTTGCGCAAAGTTGCTCAGATTGCAATGCTGGGGTGCAGTGGCTGCGCGACTCTTGCACCTGTTCTTGGTGGGCCCAGGGTGAGAGGAGACCCCCAAGTCCTCTCAGTAATGCCCAGGGTTCTCTGGTTGGGTCCCCGCAGCGTGCGATTGACCGCCAGAGATACGACGAGAACGAAGACTTGTCGGACGTGGAGGAAATTGTCAGCGTCCGTGGCTTCAGCCTGGAGGAGAAGCTACGTAGCCAGCTATACCAGGGGGACTTCGTGCATGCCATGGAAGGCAAAGGTGAGGCACCCCCTCTCCTAACTGCACTCTGTGTAGAGGGCCAGCGCGCACGTGGGGAGGGAGCTGCCTGTGGCTGGGTTCGTATTTCGCGCCCGCGTCCCCCATTCCAGGGGATCCGGTGACGAAACGAGACTGAGCACTGGGGGTGGGGGGTGGTAAGGGAGGAGGGCAGGCAGGAAGAGGGCTGGGCCTGGCGTGGGCCTAGGCCCTGTCTGTACCCATCATTAGTACCAGGGTGGTCACTGCCAAGGGGCTATTGGACTGAGAGGGACCCAGGGACAGACTCTGGGAGTGAGGAAGGGCGTGAGCGGAGCATCCCTACTCTCCCAGACCAGTTGCGCTCTCTACGCTACCAGAAGTGCAGTGCCTGGCGGGAGCCCTTCCCGACATCCCTGGGCCGTCGTCGGCGTGATGGCCTTAAGCTTGAAGGCTCCCAAACTCCTATCACTCTGGGCCCTGCGGGTTATAAACTGGAAATGAGCTTAGGCACTGAATATGGCAGCGTCTTCGGTTCTTAGGGTTACGCCCCTTCGAGCTTTGAATCTGAGCTTTGGGTCTGAAGCGCCTTTTCTACCTTCGTGGGCCCTGTCCTGCTTGATTGAAAAAGGGACTAAGTGGGCTGTTGGACGTTATTGGCACTAACCTCCTCCTCCCCAAGCCGGAAGCCCCTAGCGCCACAACCTTGACAGTCCTAATTGGGGGTCTAGTTTGTATATGTGATGAATTACCTGGTCAGGCCCAAAGCTAAAATCCCAGTCCCTTGGCAGTTTGAAGGGAAGACTTAGGTACCCCTCTAGAGACAGGCTCTTTTTCCGTGCCTGATATGGAGAGGTCTGTGTCCTCTGGCCTTTCCGGTGTGACACGCTTCGGTTTTGGAGGGACCTCCTGGCTTTGAGTTTCTCCCTGGCTCTCCTACTGGCAGTGTGACTGGGGTGTTTCTTAGACATGTTGGGTGATACTCCTGTTTGAGGTGAGGCTTTAGGAGCCCCGAACCTCCCAAGTCAGCATCCTGGGGGTCTTTTGTAGACTCTGCACCCAGACCCTATTTTGGCCTATAGGATTAGAGTTTGGGAGAAGCCCTTGCTTACTCAGGCCTTTCTAGGGTGTGTGGACTTTTTAAAGTTTCCTTTCAATTACTCATTTTCCATTTTGCGTTTCCCCCATCCCCCTTGGAAACCCCTGTCCTCTCAGTGGGCTGACAGCAGGGGGAAGCGCCTCCCTCCTCCAGGTTCTGCTTGAGCGGCTGAGGCCTGGAGTTAGCCCTAGAGAAGACTGTCCCGGCTTTGCATTTTTTGAAGTTTCTCTTTTGTGCTCACCGCCTCCTGGGGCTCTGGTGAAGTTAGGGAGAAGTAGAGGGGGAGGGAAGTTTTTTTTCCCCCAAAGAAATTTCACCCAAAAGCAGGGTGCTAGCCCCAGCTGCATTTATATTTTTCTTGGTACAAATGGGATTTTAATTCTTCTCTTTTTCTTCCTCCACTTTACTGGGCCTGGCAAAGCCTATGAGAAAACAATGTGTAAACGTTCCCTCCTAGTGATTTGTCAGGAATCCTCAGGCCAGGATTTGTGAGCTTTTTCTCAGGCCCATTTGTGGAAGCTGAAACTGGAGGGTGGGTGTGGGTGGGGAATTGGGGTGTGTGTGGACAGTGAAGGTTTCCATCTAGGGAGCTCTAAGGGCATCTTAAAGCTGCTGCTGTCCTGGCTTCTTTCAAAGGCAAGGGCCTTTGGGTTTTGCGTGTTCATTCAGATCTGCCCCAAAACTGGAGGGAGGGAGCTGAAATGCAGAAGGAACCCTTAGCTTCAAAATAGCTTCTCAAACTTCTCTTCCTTTAAATCCGGAGGAATCCCCATTCACTGGGAGCCCCTGGGGATCTGAGCCTCTGGGGTCAGGGATTTCTCGGCTCTGGGTTTTGTTCTTTCTTCTCAGCCAGTTGCTTTGGCCTCCTCCTCCCCCAAAGGATGCCCTGGTGGACTGTCTCCCTTGGGCTTAGGCTCCCCAGAGTCTCCTCCGTCCTTTCTAACCAGCTTGGAGAGGACTGGTGCCCTTGGTACCTTGCATTAGTCACCTGATTTGGGAGAGAAGAGGATGTCTCAGCACCCCTCACCTTCATTCTGGGGACTATGGATGGGTCAGAGCCACTGGCTTGGGACTTGAGGAAAGAAAGAAATTAGGCAAAGACTAGGGGGCTTTGGATAGGATATGGAGGGGGGATCTCTATCATGCAAGCAGCAGATAGAACGCTGCCTTGTGAAGGTTTCCTCTGGGGAGGGGGCTTCCTGAGCTCTCCTCACAGTTCACTAGCTCCTGGTTATCCAGCTGAAGCAAGCATTTCGATGGGCTCCAGCAGAATTTCACTATAGGAAGGGGACAAAGCTGTGCCCAGTTCCCTAGTTATTTTGGCACCAAATACATAGTTTCCAAGGAAACCGGCTTCCCCCCACCCCCCTTCGCCATCCAGGATATTACAATAAGATTTTCACCAATGCTCAGCTACAATGAGAACCCTCCTCCCTAGTCTCTGTGGAGGCTTCAGATTCTCCCAGGTAGCATGCTTTGATTTTGCGGTCCCTTTCCTACCTCAACTCAGCCTGGGATGGGTTTATCTGTCCCTGTTTCTCAATAGCTGGTGAGTTTTCAGTATAGAGTTCTTTATAAGTCTACTCGCCAGCCCTGGCTGGCCTTGGGCTGTTCATTGACAAGTTGGGACCCGTGGGGCATGCAGGGAATGAGTAGGCAGAGGGATGGATGGGAGTGGATGGCATGGCTTTGCCTTATCTATTTTCTTGTTATTTTCCCAGAGAGTTTTGCTGTCTAGCTGGCACCTACATCTAGCGTATATGCCTCCTCTCCACTGTTTTTTTTGTTGTTGTTGTTCCCGTCACCAGTGGGTTGTGGTTCATTTGTTCCTCAATAACTTAACCAAATAACTGTTTTTAATTCAAATACCCAAACAGATTTTAACTATGAGTACGTACAGAGAGAAGCTCTCAGGGTCCCCCTGGTTTTTCGGGACAAGGATGGACTAGGGATCAAGTAAGTGCTGAAATTAACCCCTTCTTCCTGGGTCTTCCTCCCTATCACAACTCACAGCTTGGGTTGGGTTCTCCTGCCTTCTTCACTCCGCTTAGCCCTTCCAGGAGGACTTTGCCTAAAATCCGAGAACAGCTCCTCCTTGCTCAAAGCCCACCCAAGAAGAGCTGATCTTCTTTCGGGAATTTGAAAGTCTTAGGACATTTAAGTGGTGACGGATCTCCCCCACCCACATCTTAGTCTACCCTGGTCATTTTAAGCAGTGATGGATATCACTCTGCTTTCTGGTCTATTCTGGTCCCACGCAGCAACTTCCTGTTGAGCATTGCTTGAACCGTGGGTTGTGAAGGGACCGACCATCCTCTGTGCCTAGACTAGGGTACCAGGATGCATGGTTTTCTGAACATACTCCCAATGTGTGGGAAATGGGTCTCTTTCTGTGAAGGGTGTGTGTGTTTCCTCTCCTATACCTCTGTCTAGCTTATATCGTGGCAGAGAACTGCAGAACTGCCAGCGTTCTGGGTTGGGGAGAGGTTGAGGCAGGCTGGAAGAGCAGACTCTACTCCTTGGTCAGGGATAAGAAAAGGATTTTAGGCTGCCTCCCACTCTAGCATCTACTTCTAGGCTTATTCAGGTACTTCCTGCCGGAGATGGGAAACTTTCAGCATCTTCCTCGATGGGTGGTGTGAAGCTTGCTAGGTAGACCAGGCTGGCCTTGAACTCATAGAGATCTGCCTGCCTCAGTGTGCTGAAATTAAAGGCATGTGGCACCTGCCTTTTAGCATCTCTCTTTTCTTTCTTGTTTTTGTGTTTTGAGAACTCCGGGCTAGCCTCAGACTCAACTATGTGGTAGAGGCTGACCTTGAACACCTGTTCCTCCTGCCTCCACTTCCCTAGTGCTGGGATTGTAGGCTTACACCACTGTCCATAAAGGCAGGATGTGCCCTTTTCTGACTTCGTCTTCACTCATTTATTATCTAACTGTGTTAAATTGTTTTTTGAGATAGTTTATTGCTGTGTAGCTGAGGCTGGCCCAGAACTCACAGTCTTCTTGTTTCAGTGCTCCAAGAGTATTCCCTCTGAGTGTATAGAGAGAAGTCTCCCCCAGAATCCATGTAACTGTATGGAAAATATTTTCTAAAGGGACAGACAGAGGCGCCCTAAAATAAACCGGGTGTTCGATCCCTGACACCACGCTTCAGTTTGTCCTGCAGTAAGTTGACCAGTGATTTCCCACCCTCCCTTGAGCCTCAGATTGAGTCTTTCTGTCTTTTTCCTTTCTTTTTTTTTTTTTGGTTTTCAGAGGCAGGGTTTCTCTGTATAGCCCTGGCTGTCCTGGAACTCACTCTGTAGATCAGGCTGGCCTCGAACTCAGAAATCCACCTGCCTCTGCCTCCCAAGTGCTGGGATTAAAGGTGTGCGCCACCACCGCCCGGTGAATTTTTCTTTTATGATAGGGAGCCTACTCTGTGATTCTGGGTGACCTCTCTCAAGGTACCTACCTGGTCTACCAGGTTCGCCCTCTGGGTTCTTTCATATTCTCAAGCATAGAACAAAGAATCCCTTTTGGAAAAATGGCTTCCCCTTAGACGCAGGGTAATTTATCTCTGTGGGTTTTTTTTAATCTATATATCTGTCTGCCTATTTTTTTTTTTAACAAATATCCGTACATCTCTTTTCTCCAGGATGCCAGACCCTGATTTCACAGTCCGAGACGTCAAACTCCTGGTGGGTAAGTCCCAAAGGTGGGGCAGGAGAAGGGAAGGGGAGGTCTTCACCACCTGCCTGGTTAGACTTACAGCTGCTTCAGAAGAGAGTGTGCTCCCTGGAGGAGGGGGAGCAGGTGTAAGCTGCAACCGCCTGACTCTGGAGAACAGGTTAGATGGCAAAGTCCTGAGAAGCTGGCTCAGAGGATGTTTGTCGGCACAGTTTTTTTATGAGGTGATTTGGGCCCGGTCTCTATCTTGGGTGTCAGCAATGCAATCTCGGATCTCTCCTTCGCCTTTGTTTGTGGGTTGCTGGGTAAACACTGGGTGCTTCATGACTCCTAAAAGACTTTCATGTGTTCATGGGGGAGGGGCTATGCCTCCTGCTTCCTCGGGGTTCTAGGGTGTGGCTTGCCACTCTGTGTTCAACAAATGGCTTTTAACTCTCTGAGGGCTTGCCAGGTATGGCTGGTGGCTTAGGGTGTTTGACCTTTCACCAGGAAGCAGGTGGTGTTTCAGATCACACAGAAAGCCCTTCCAGAGTGCCATTTTTTTTTTTTTTTTTTTTTTAGAAAATCATTTCTTGCCTACACGGCAGGCTGTGGATGTAACTGATGAGGCCCCTGCCCTCTCTAGGAGGATGGCAGGCAATAAAGATGTTAGCGACGTATCTTTGCAATGATTCAAAGAGCCTTGGAGAAATAAAGCTGGGTGATGGGTAGCACACAGTAGGGCTGTACTTCAGGCATGGTAGTCAGGGAAGAGAGGAGGCATTTGAACAGATACCCAAATGATAACAGTCAACTATGGGGCTGCAGAGATGGCTCAGTGGTAGAGCGCTTGCTACCCTTCCAGAGGACCTGGGTTTGTTTCTCAGCATCCACGTCAGGCTGCTTGAAATCACCTGTAACTCAGTGGCTCTGACAGACATCCTGTTCTGGCCTTTATAGGCATCAAGCAGACACAGAGACACGTAGATGAAAACTACTTATTCATTCATCCATCCGTCCATTCATTTTAAAGATATCAGCCATAGAAAAAAATAGTCTAGGCTGTGAGAGATGAACCAGGGAAAAGGCCAGGGGTATAAGCTGGGCGTTTCAACCTTGAATGACAGAGGAGAATGCGTTGGCAGACACCCCAGGCCAGATCATCAGGGCCTTGGAGGCCCCGGGGAAATTTGGATATGGCTCTTTAGTATGATGGCAAGCCTTGGGGAGCTGAAAACTAGGAGTGAGGGGGAGCCTATGTGATTTTGTTATTTTCTTTGTGGGCATTGGCATTTTTAATTAATTGATTAATTACGTGACACTGGAGAGTAAATCCAGGAGCTCATGCATGGCAGGCAACTTTTCTGCCACCTGTGCTATGGTCATCGCTCAACGTTTTTGTTTTTAAGTTAAAGTAAAACTCATATAACATAGCCTTCCTATTTAAAGTGTCTGGTTCCATGGGGCTTTTTTGAATATTCATGTTTTGTAACCATCACCACTATGTAAGTCCCGATTACCATCCCCCACAAACCCTTCATCTGCCCCCTTGTATGCTTTCTTCATTTTCTTTATATCAAGAGACCACATTTTGTTTATCCGCTTGTCCCCTGATGGGCATTTTGGTTGTTTCTACCTTTTAGCTGTTACGAATAACGCAGTGAATGTTTACTGTACAAGCTTTCCTGAACATTCATTTCTCTCGAGTCTCAAGGCGTCTTAGTCAGGTTTTCTGTTGCTGTGACCTACTACCCGACACTGAGTGACTTACAAAGAAGAGGTTAACTTTGGCTCATGGTTTTGGGACTGGCAAGTCCGAGGGCATAGTGTGTGGGCATTTGTTTAATATGTACTGCTTCAACTCATGGTGGGAAGAGAAAGACCATGCAGGCATGTGGAGGACACAAGGAACACCTTGCCTTTTGGCAGCTAGATATCGTGGTATCCAATTCAGTCCCAGAAGATACCAATCCATTCCTAAGGGTTCAGCTTCAATACCTCCCATGGGCCCCACTTCCCAAAACTTCTGTATTGACAAACTGAGGTTCCAACACGTGCACTTGAGACAGATGCTCACACAACAGTATGAGGTAACTGTTAACTGCCGACCTGTTCCTAATCAAGTTCTGATCAGTCAGTCAGCTCTGTACGATGGCTCAGTTTAGCTCCTCATCCACACTCGGGCTTGCTATGGTCTGATTTGGCTTTGGTTTTTGCTTTTGGCACTGAGTATTTTCTTGTTTGTTTAGTGTTGTTTCTTGGGCTTTCGTGTTTATTTTTGTTTAGAGCAGGGTTTCATTGTATGGTCCAGGCTGGTCTAGAATTTGCCACTCTTATTTTACACCCCATCTGTGTACTAGTGGTTATTAAAGTGATTGGATTAGAATTTATGAAAACTTCATCTATGGAATATGAAGGCAGCTGGCTAGTGGCATGTCAGACAACGTGACCAGAATAATCGCTACAATTGCTCTTTTAGGTTTTTTTTTAAAGATTTATTTATTTATTTATTGTATATGAGTACACTGTAGTTTTCTTCAGACACACCAGAAAAGGATATCAGATCACCTTGCAGATGGTTGTGAGCCACCATGTGGGTGCTGGGAATTGAACTCAGAACCTTTGGGAGAGCAGTCAGTACTCTCCAGCCTCCTCTTTAGGTTTTTAAGACAAGGTCTTACTGTGTAACGGGGCTGGTCTTGAATGCACAGTGCTCTTCCAGCTTCGGTCTTCCAGGTATTGAGAGTGTAGATGCGTGCTTTAGGGTTTCTCTGTGTAGCCCTGGGTTTCCTGGGCCTCTGTAGACCAGTCTGACTTAACCTCATGGACAGTCAGCTGCCTCTGCCTCCTGAGTGCTGGGATTAAAGGCATATGGCACCACCACCTGGTTGTTTTAGCTTTTTCAAGTAATGTTGTTTTCCTGGACTTTCTAGTAAACTCCCCAAGCCTTTTCCAGATACAGTATGCATCCAGACCACCTCTTCTTTCACTTGGACCCCCTCTTCTTTCACTTGGACCTCCTGGTCATCATGGAGGAGCCAATTAGACGGTTCAAATATTTTTGCCAGACTAGATCTATGCATTGACCAGGAAAGCAGGGCTGGCTAACCTGCCCTCATCTCTGTCAGTATTTTTTTTTCCTCTGTTTTTGTTTTGAGACAAGCTCTTACTCTGTAGCCTAGGCTGGGCTTAAACTCCCAGTAATCCTTCTGCCTCAGCCTCCTACACGCTGGGATTATGAGTACGAGTCATCATGCCCCGCTCTCTTCCCATTTCTGGGGTCATGATGTGTATGTAAATGCTTCAGGGAGGTATGGGGAACTTAGACACTGTTGGTGGCTGCAGCTCTCCTGGGGTATGACAGTTGTGCATTGTAGCATCAGTCCACACACAGGCTTCTGGAGAGGGGTGAAACGTGCATTTATCATAAAGGACAGAGGTGACAAATGTAGCAGAATAGTTTGACTTGTGTAATGTATCCAGTGTGTAACCTGCTGCTCCTATAGACTTAAGTGTTCTAAAAATTATCCCAAGAGGAAATTATCTTAGTAGGTCGCCTCTTGCCTCGGGCTTGGCCAGTGCCTTATCTGCCAAGCCATCTCCCTGTCCCTTGCCTTCCTTTTCTTCTATTTCTCTTTCCTTCCTCTTTTGAACTTGTTTTGGGTAGTTGCTTCCCCTTCTGACAGGTAAAAAATAGGATCAGGAGCCCCAGGCTGACACCTTGCCCCCACAGGGTCCCCCTTCCAACAGTGCTAGGCCCTGTCCGTTTCTTGTCTCTGGGATGCCAATCCTGAAGCTGGTTGTTGGGGACAGTGAGCCCCAGGGGTCTGACCATCCATGGGGACAGAGAGTGTGGGGGCAGCAGTGACAGAGACATGGTCCTAACATTAAATCACGTTCTGCTAGGACAGTGCTGGGGCAGCCGACAAACCAAATTCAGAAGGGGCGCTGGGGAGATGGCCCAGCGGGTAAGCAGTTCTATGAAAGCATGAGGACCTGAGGTTGGATCCCTGTGTCCATGGCTACGCTGAGCAGGTGTGGAACCTATGTGTAACCCCAGGACGCAGGTGTTAGGATCCGTGGATAAGCTGGGTAGCTAAACTAACCAAATTGGTGAACTCTGGATTCCAGTGAGAGACCCTACCTCTGTATATGGTGCGGAGTGACTGAGGCAGACACCTGATGTGAACCTGT